TCCATCCATCCATCCATCCATCCATCCATCCATCCATCCATCCATCCATCCATCCATCCATCTCTACCACAGAACTGAGGTTAGCCCCAGGAGTGAAGCTCCATTGACCATCATTGCTAACATGATCACATCTAATAAATAAAGTTGGAGAGAAGTGAGATTTCCCTCTGGCACCACAACAGGCATGTGGCAGTTAAAACTCTTCCTCAATATCATGCTTTCAAACTTGATTTCCTACATTCCACTCTTCATAAATCTTTTTTTTTTTGGCTACAACTACCAGGATGCCACCTCCAATAACGATTTCCTCATTAATGCAATAATGAGAAATGATGATGCAATGTGCTAATTTTGGTTCCTCCTCACTTTCTGGCTTGCAGCCACTCCCCCGCACCCAAATTATACTTTTGGCAGTTATTGATTACAATGCCTTTTACAGGTGGTAATCTAGCAAAACCCTCCTCACAGATCTCTACTCTATATCTTTGTTTTTAATCCCTTTCTTCAAAGCTGTGTTTGAACTTAGCCTTGTTTGGTGGTCATGGATTTCACTGGAAAACAATGTTGAAGGTCCCATTTTCCTTACCTGTGTATTCTGGGAAGCAGATGGTCAATGGGGATTTCTTGATCTTCTCCTCAAAGATGTCCTTCTTGTTGAGGAACAGGATGATGGAGGTCTCCGTGAACCACTTGTTGTTACAGATGCTATCAAAGAGCTTCAGTGATTCATGCATGCGATTCTGAAACACAAAGGAGATGGTGCATCAGGCCAAAGATGGCTCCAGCTGGGCCATCTTTAATGTGCAAGGAGGCATCTACAATTAATAAATGGGGGAGGGAAGAATATGAAAGAAAGCAGACAACAGTGGACGTCATTCAATCAATGTTTACAAACTAGGAACATGTGAGCCTACATTAAAAAAAAAGATGCAGTCCCTATAGATTTGAAATACAGTTAGTAGCACTGTGGTATTAATTTTTTTTCCAGAGCCGTAAATTTAGCATAGCACTTTTAAAATAGATATATAAATTTAAGATTTCAGCTCCGATTAAAGGTCATGCACCATGCATTTTGGGTGGGTGGGTGGAGGAGCCGTTCCACTGCCCTTCGTGGTCAAAAAGATCTCAACCAAAGAGCAGGTCATGCAAACTGTCTAGAGGATTCACCTCAAAGTGACGGATCGTGCCACGGGTGCATGTTTGTGTGGGACGTGTGTTTGGCTGGAGACATTAACCAAGGACCAGCAAATCCTTGAATTAATCGAGAGTTGAAAGCAGATCATGAGACGGCATCTTCTTGGCAGTGACCTTGCGGTGACCTTTAGCCCAAGGAGTTTGTTATATAATTTAGCACGGACAGCCTTTGAGCGTCTTGGCTTTTTCCCCCCTTTGGGTTTCTTTTTTAAATTTTATTTTTAAGTGCATGTCTTTTTGGGAAACATGGCTTGATTAAAAGCATTTCACCCAGATAAAAAGAGATAAAGGGACAAGAACGACAGGAAGAGAAAACGAGAGGGAAGGAGAGGAAGGAACTCAAAGAGACAACACGCTTAAGGACCACCGAGGCCTTTTATCGGCACACGATCTTGGCTGATGTTAGTCTGTGCCTTAAGGAAAAGAATTGGGCTCGGTTCTGGAGGTGAGTTTTCTGGCAATGCCGCAAATCAAATACACGAATGAAGGTGAAGCCGCTTTTTAGTTAGAAACCATGCAGTAAGTAACAAAAAACAAACAAACAACAAGATAAAACAAACCAATGGAGAGATTAAACAGTGGTGTGATTTGGATGTGGAGGCAAATACAGGTCACTGCAAAACCAGACAATAAATGCCAAGTTCCCGGACTGCTTTCAACTCTTTTTCCTTTGTTTTCTCGGTTCAAGAGAAGCTTCATACCTGTCAAATTTGGAGGGTCTCTCAAAATCTCATTATTTCGGCCTTTGTTTGGTTAGACAAGGTCAGGTGGCCAAGGAATAGTGGTGTTGGTGAAGAGAAGACCTGCTGGAAGTTTGGAGCAAGAGGCTGAAGCCAGAACGCCCATGCCGCCTCTCCCCGACGGAAATGGAATAGCAGAGAGAAGCAGCCATAACTGAGGTTGAGAAGCAAACCCATAGATTCAACAGGGGGTTATTGAGAAGCAAAGAGTATGTTATAGAGACCAGAGAGCATCTTCCCGTTTTGTCTTTGGTGGCATCTTGTCATGTGCCACGTAATTCTCACCACACAAATCTAGCAGGAAAATTATAACCAAGAAGAAAGTAGAGATAAAAATTATTCAAGAAATCTACTGGAAAGTTTCTTCGAGATGCAACCAACCCACTTCACCAAGGACCACCCTTTGTTGGTGTTGCTGGGGAAGGCTGATCCTTTCTCCCCCAGCTCCTGTTTGCTGGCTGGGGGGGTCGCAAAACAGAGCACAGACTGAATCTCAGTAATAAAACAATAGAATTTTATCACTTGAAAAGTGGAGAGTCATCAACATATAGTAGATGTGCAAAATGGGTCTCTCCAAATAATCGGACAATTACTCTTTTATAGTTCTAAGTGGAAATTTCCAAAGTAAATAACTAAGCATGTGCAGGAATAGATACAATAAGAATGAATGCTGTAAAACAATGCTACAAAAGGACAAAGTAGCTTTCTTTGACAGGCTGCTTAGACAATATGACCAGAAAATGCTTTAACTATTATAATGCCAATGTTTGACCTGACCCAGTGAATGCCAACTTCCGTATCTGCTCTAATGCCCAATTATGGGCTCTTGCTTATCACCTCTACATTCTCGCTCTTCCCCCTCACTTTTCAAATGGAGGTGATAAACTATGATCACTTTTAAACTGTGTACCAGGGGATCTGGGAATCCTCGGAAGTCTGATAGGGTTTGTTACTCTGATGACAGCCAGTAATGGTAGACAAGTTTTCCTGAAAGAAAGACACCTTGCATGTCACAGCCCCATTTTCCCATCCAAAGGGAGAAGAGATGCACATACATTTCCGAGCACGCGTGCACATACATTTACACACTTCAAGTTATGGCTTAGCTGTAGGACTCCATGGGAAGCAAAGAGAAACGTTGTCATTCAGACACCAGCATCTCGCCCCCCCCTTTGATTTGGATGGCTTATGACAGCTCTGACTTTCTTGCTACTCCTCTCCCCCCCCTTTTACGCTGCACTTTCCTCCTCCTCTGGGGCTTAGCAATAAGACACTGCCAAATACACGTGCACACAGATGGGGGGGGGGAGAAGGGGAGAGGCCCCGTTTCCCAAGCAGCCCCACGAATGAGCCGGAGGTTAGTTTCCTCTCTCGGTTTTAGCTGAACCCTTGCCCGCATGTGGACAGAAGGCCAAGGAGCGCCCCAGACCTCTTAATCAGGAAACCAGGCGAGCTGGCAGGCAAGGGGAGGGGAAGCCGGCTCTCTCACTGTCTGGGACAGAGCTCAAGGCAGAGCAGATTCCTCGCCCACCCAAAGGGGAAACCAGTCTGAAGTGAGGGGGGTAAAACATCCTGGCCAGATGTGAAGGGAGGATGGTTTTGAAGGAGGGGGCAGTCTGGGGAGGCATGGACAGTTCTAAGGGTTTTGCAACATCGCTGAGGGACCTATGGATGTCATTTTGGTAGTTAGCCAAGAAGAAACCACTCAAAGCACCATCACTACCATGGCCAAAAGGCAGTAGTACGGTTTCCAGGTTACGTGAAACAAGACAAAAAGAAGCAACACAACACCTGCAACAAGAAGAAAACCAGGGCCCTGAAGGCTACTAACATGACCCTTTTCTTAACCAGCTTGCTTCCTAGACTTTTCTGCAGACGGTTATTCTACCCAGCACAAGTATCCTGCTATGCACGTCTACACCACACTGTAGAACTCCTTGTACCTTTTTGCACAAATATCACTTTTGTACATTGTTCTCCTGGAAGTGATGACAGCACCTTTGTATCTGTGTTCTTTGCAGAACCATAAACCCAAAGACCCAAGGAAAATAACGGATTTCTCTACAAATGTTTGGTAAATATCGCGAAAGCTTATTTCTTCGTTCTGGAAAGACCTCGGCAAGATCTCCCACCTTTTCTGCATGTAGGGTTGTGTTTTGGAAATCGGATGCATGAGAGGGCACAGCCATGCTGGGTTTTGCTCACCCTGAATGAGAGACAGGCGGGTGTCTTCACAAAACGGGTTCTGACGAAGTACTCAGTAGAAGAGCAAATGCTTTACCTGAAGAGGTCTCATGCTGAATCAACATCCCCTCTGGACAAAACTGGGGGACAGAGAACATAAAAGGCGCCCATAGAAACTCCACGGAACCCCTTGCCCATCAGTTTACGGGGTGAACGGAGCAAGGATTCTGCAGCTACAAGCTAAGCCAGCCTCAAGTGATGTCACGGGGCCAATCGCATCCCACCAACCCTTATAAAACTTCCAGACTTTCCCCAGCTTCCTCACTTTCAACAAGCCACTCCTCCGCACAGACTTGGCTCTTGTCCCTCCCTTATTTGTCTTTAGCTTTCCAGTCTGGACAGACGTTGGGGCTAAAAAAGTACAGTCGTGCCTCGCTTAACTATTGCCCTGCATTACGACGAATCTGCTTTAAGACGATGTTTTTGCTTCTGCAACCGATTTTCGCTTTACGATGATCAAAAACAGCTGATCTTCAGGTTTTCAAAATGGCCACCGGGTGCTTAAAATGGCTCCCCACTGTGCTTAGGGATGGATTCCTCGCTATACAGGCACCAAAAATGGCCGCCGTATGGAGGATCTTCATTGGACTGTGAGTTTTTAGCCCACTGGAGTGCATTGAGGGGTTTTCAATGTGTTAATTTTGCTTTACGATGTTTTCGCTTAACAGCGATTTTCCTTGAATGGATTATCGTCGTTAAGCGAGGCACCACTGTAGAAAGTTGTTTCTAAACGCCAGAGCCTGCCATTCTGACCACAATGATCTGCAAGGACAAAGAGAAGAGAAAGAGCAACCAGGTGATGGGGCGTTTCCCTCTCTTCCCGACCCTAAATGTTGGTCCCCTCCTACAAGTGCTAAGTCCGCCAGTCACCAAAAGCTGGAAGGCAGAACAGCCAGAATGGGAGGCCCTTGGAAACCTGCATTTTGATCACGGAGCTGCCACGTTTCTGTCTGAGACTAGACTCTAGAATGGAAAGTGAACACTGGACACACCCAGGAAAAATATTACTGCCCAATCCTTACAGATGATCCGGTTTTATTTGGGCTTCAGCGAGCAAGCTTTTACACACACACACACACACACACACACACACACCGGAAAGTGAACACTGGACAGACCCAGGAAAAATATTACTGCCCAGTCCTTACAGATGATCCGGTTTTATTTGGACTCCAGCGAGCAAGCTCTTACACACACACACACACACACACA